AAAAAAAAAAAGTAGGAAATGCACCAAATAGTTTTGAAATTCAGGAGTGCTTTGCGCCTACCTGAGGCAGACACTGTGCCAGAGGCAGGGACCACTTTGTACTAGATACTGTGTCTCTACCACTTGGCATTTTACTATATTCGTTTTTAGGCACAGTTACAAAAATTCTTGGGGGAAAACGTCATTTAAAAGTTTATCTTCTAAGGGCATGTCAGAAATGATGGCAATTAGAGAGTAAGATTCCAAATAAGTTATTAACTGTCTTTAGACTTGACAACATGCTTCAAGGATGAGTGTGAACATCGGGATTTCTGGGTACCACGCAGCTCTTAACATCCCGTGAGTCCAGAAAAGCCAACAAAGTTGAGGGTGATTTTTAACTCATTTTGTTTTTAATAATAAAAAAATTATTTTAATGACAAAAAAGGTTCCGTTTAATCAGCTAAAGCCAGCACTTAAAAGAAAAAGAAAATAGAGAATTTACATCTGCTCTTTACAACTTTAAGAAAGCAATAAGACAGGGAGATTTTATACAAAATATAGAGGAAGATTTTATTTCAAATAGGAGAGATTATGATAAAAAAAAGTAAAATTCTAATTTCAGGATTTCAATTTTAATACTGCTGAGAAAAACTTTGCTTGTTATAAACAACTAATAGCTGTATCAGAGGAACTCTGGTGGTACAGTGGGGTAAGCACCGGATTGTTAAATAAAACAGAATCCAGTGGCTTGACCCACTACTAGCTGCTCTGTAAAAGAAAGACAAGATATTCTGTTTTTATGAACATTTATGTACAGCCTTCAAAACTCTGCTGGGCAGTCCTCTTGTACCCAACAAGGTGGAAATCAGTTTGATGAGTTTGGCTTTTTGGGTTGTAGAATTTCCAAAATCAAGGAGCATGGTGGGGCCCAGCTGCTAACGTTTGAACCCGCCAGCTGCTCCACAGGAAAGATCTGGAAGTCGTCGTCTATGAAGACTGTTGGTGGTATTGTTGTTATGTGTAGTCAAGTCAAAGTGGCTCATCACTGCCCCTCCAGCAGATTTTCAGAGGCAGTAAATCACAAGGAGGAGAGTGCCCACCCTTCTCCTGGGGAGCAGCTGGTGGATTCAAACAGAGTCCCTTCTGGGATCGCAGCACAGCTTCCTACCACCAGGCCAGCAAAGCCGAGGGAACAGTACTAACCTACAGCACTGCTATGAGCCAGAATCAACTCAGCAGCACACGGCAGCAGTTCTACGGAAGCATTCTCAATTTTCATAAACTTCCAAGTTTTCTGAAATCAACGTAAATTCAAACTCATTTTAAGCAAAAAATTACATAAGGTGAAAATCATAACTATTTCTAAACTGATAAATAAAAGTCTGCATCCTTTAAAGGTTTTTGTTTAACTGCCCAAATTCCATGTCGTAAGGCACTCCATTAGTGCCATAAATAAGGACAAATTATTACCTTTCCAACACATTTACCAAAGATGTAAGTTAACTTTCCTAAGTAATTAGGATCGTATTTTAATTACGAAAATGGCAACTGCCTTCATCATTTAAAATAAAGTTAATGAGACATGCAGAATACACTGGAACTCATTTTTTTCTTTTCAAGGACCAATTTCTCTTTTTTTTCAGGGCCACTTTCTTGAAGAAAGAACTAGTCAATAAATAGCGTTTTACCACTTGGGTGTTCACGCTTCTTGTTAACATTTCCAACATCTTTTTTACAGCCGAATCCCCGACTATCCTGCACAACCACCATAGAGGAATACCTCTAACACACGGGCTTCCACGTACATGCACGGGAACTCATGCGTAAGGAAGCCCACAGGGTTTAGCGTGATCTGCTCCCTCCACGTCAACTGTCACAACTCTCCCTTCGCCAGGGTTCAAGTCAGTGCAATCTTGTCATTTCCTTTTCCCTGATGCTTTTTCCTCACCTGGAAAAGACAAGGGTGCTTCTTCCTCTATCAACTTCCCACAACACCTTTACTCAATCCCTCAGAAGACTCACACAAACAACAGCCACAAAAACTACACAAATTTTCTTCTGTTACCAGTCCCTGAGGGTAAATGTCTTACTATCTTTACATCCAGTTAAGCATCTTAAAAAAATAAGAAAAAGCTTTTCTGCCAGGGATGAGGAAAGAGACCTCTGCAATCACCGAGACTGGAGACCAGGTGTGAGATGAGACCTTGGGGGAAGGAGGGAGTGAGCCAATATTGGCAGGATTGAGAGTTCTGTTGGCCAATTAGTGGGGGAGGATGTCAATATTGGCAGGACTGAGAACCTGGGAAAGCTTCAAGCTATGAGGCTTAAAGCTGAAGTGCCTGCTGTGCACATTTCAGGAGCCTTCGTGACTGTGTTGTCACTAATCTGAAATATAAACTTTTTACTTCCTCAAATAAAAAAAGAAAAAGAGGCGAGCTCTGGTGGCCTAATGGCAAGAAGCTGCACTGCAATCCCAGAGGCACGTGGTTCAAATCCACCAGATGCTCTGCTGAAGAAGGAGGGA